TTAACCTATTAACAGTTTTTTTCCGTAGCGTTTTTACAAAATTTTACAGTTAAAATTACACTTATTTTTTACAGTGCAGAATTAAACATTTAACATTTAACCCAACCGCTGGGTCAAAACAACCCAATTGCTGGGTTTGTCCCTATTTTACCCGGTTGTATTTGTGGGCGGGCAATATGCTAATGTTTCATGTTGACCTCAACATGAAATGGCTTGGGATTCATTTTAAAAACTACTTGTTTCAATGATTCAGAGTCGACTCTTTCTTTTGAGAGACAATAACTTTATACATGGTGAACTTTCAGATTTAAAACTTTGCAGGATGTTTTAATTCACTTAGAGCTGTGTTACACACTGCATGAAAGGTAATTTTCAAAAATCCATAATAGGGGCACTTTAATTTTCTGGACTTTCTGAAAAAATCACCCTAGCCTTGTTAATGAAATAATATATAATACAGCATAAGAGACTTCTTTAAAAAACAAAAAATCTTTCATAAAATCTTATAGACCCCAAACTTTTGAATGATTGTAGAACATTGTAGAAAACCAGTCTACATGCCACCACAGAATTCCCCACTGCTGCGTGTAAAGAGTCAGACGTCTAAAGGCTTGTTGTGTCTGAATCCATCTAATAGACAGTTACAGTCTGTTTACTCTACAGAGCTGATAAGAGCAGTCCAGCACACAGACTGTAAAAATGAGACTGTACTCAAGTGCGTATTGATAAGAGAGAGAGAGAGAGAATGAGACAGGACAGGAAAGTGTGTGCGAAAGCAAATACTTGGCTGAAATTGAAGCTGTAATTGCTGGCTGAGTGACAGATAGACAGACAGGTACACAAAGAGTCAGCGTTGTTCGAGGTTATTTGCAGACAAACAGGTGTAGTTTCGACTAGACACCTTGCAGACTGTCTAGTCTGGCGGGGCAGGACGACAGTTAAACGCGACAGTGGAGAGAAAGTGTAATGCTCAAGTCTGCATACACAGACACACCACGGCCACATCCACATACAGAGACATGCACATCCACATGCCAACACCCATTTATCCAAAAACACTTACACGCATTGGTACTTGCACATGTAAGCAGTACAATAACAGAAAAGAAGAAGTGCCAGTGTTTCTGTGTGAAAAAGAGATACGGGTAAGATGTTTACTTGCACGAAACCCACTCTTAAATCACTGTGTGGAAACAGTGACGTAGTGTTTGTGTAGGATTATGTGAGATGCTGCTTTATAATGGCTAGCAACACCACACACAGATTAAAGACAGCGGTGGAAAAACCTCAAATTTCCGTAGAAACAAAGGGGAGTTGAGAGACCTTCACTCAGGGTCCTTCCTCACTAATGAAACTAGTGTTTTGTAAAACAGCAAAACCACACACTGGCTTATGGGTAATTCTCACATTGCTCACATATCCCATGTAACCCATCAGGTATGTAGCTGTTTGGTGTGACTGAATCAATGCATCTCTGTGGTGAGCAAATGTAGTAATTTAGCCATTTTCCCATTCATTTTAGTTTACAGGGCACAGGCTAACAAGAAACTAGATACCATCGCTCTTGTGCTTTTTATTGCATATCCAATCCCTATGTTGTTAATTAAGTAGTAAAAAGAACAGTACACTAAAAAAAATCCGTAAAATTTACGGTAAAAAATGGCAGCTGTGGTTGCCGGAACTTTACCGTAAAAAATACGGTAACAACGTTTTAGGTTTTACATCCGTAAAATTTACGGTAAAAAACGGCAGCTGTGGTTGCCGGAACTTTACCGTAAAAAATACGGTAACAACGTTTTAGGTTTTAACTCAGATTTTTCAGTATATAGTAGGGGAATTTACCATTAACCATTTAACAGGTTTTTACTGTAGCATTTTTACAGTCTTTTACCGTTAAATTCACTGTCATTTTTTACAGTGTAGGCAGTGTAATGATTCAGTCTTAAATATTTCACAAATCGCTCCATGTTGGGAGGAAATTGGCGGGATTCGTTGTATGAGAAGACCTTCCATATCCGCCATTGCTTTTTCTTCTCTATGACAAAACGTGTTTATTTTCTCAATTCAAACTCTAAAAGGCGCAATGGGTATAAAAGGTTACTTGATTTTCAGTCAGTCCAATTTTAAGTAGCGACGTTTCTCTCGAGCGTTTGAATGAAACGCATCATCTTGGCTCAGCAGCGCACCCGTATGGTGATGTTTAGTACTGCCCATCTTCACATTCGCCTCAGATAAAAAAAAAAAAGTCGACTAGATATTCGTGAATTGATATTTCTTTATAAAGCTCTCAGTGAAATTTAATCTAATTCACAATAAGAATATTTTCAGACCACAAATGTTGGTTGAGAAGTAGTACTTAATATACTCATCTCTAACATTTTTTACTCATTTGAAAACACTCACTTTGACTCATTCAGTAGCCTAGCATGTGTTTATTCTGTTCTGGTCATAATAAGTTGTTCTCCTATGGTAACTGCCAGTTGCATGTTCTAGATGCAGATATAGGCTACTGATAATGTGAAATCATGATTGAGAAAGATGGTGTGGTCTTGTGTTGTTTGTTGACAAACAGGGCTGGATATTTGAGTTGCCTGTGCTTTTCTTGACAAAAAAGAAAATAATAGTTTTCGCTAATGATTAGGTCTTCATGCAATTATTTGGACAGTCATCATCACAGAAGAGTCTGAATGAAGTCTCTTCGCGAGTCCCAGATTCGGTGAGTTCCAAGAAGTTTGTCTGTAAACCTCACCTCTGTTTTCTTAAATTACAGCGCGTTGAGCTCTCTCGGCCACCGTACATTTCCCCCCTCATCTGAAACACACGCACAGATACAAATACTCAAACATAGTGTGCACTCTGTGGTTTGTGGTCAGCTGATAAATGTGCTGCAGCCTACAGACGAACAGGCCTAACACACATATTGACATGAAAAACACATTCCTAAGAACACCCAGTTTTTGTTCTCATCTCTCCACTGAGGTTCTTAGAATCGCCAAACCAGCCACAAACACACGCACACACCGTTTTCACATGCTGTACACACGCTCTAATAAGGAACATTTGACCTCAGAAGCCCATTTTCCTGCTGTGCATATTCACTCTGAAATGCATATTTATACCACTAGGCCCAGTGTATGTATGTATTTATTTACAGGCTTCATTTTCATAAGCAGTATAACATTTTAGTTTTCTTATTTTTGATGATCTGAAATGTCTTTGTGAAAATACCACTTGTTATAAATGTCTACTCTCTTAAAAGTGTTTTTTTTTGTTGTTGTTGTTGTTGTTTTTTGCAGCAATGCCATAGAAGATTCATTTTTGTTTCCCCAAAGAACTGATAATACGATTTTTTTCCCCCTTAATGTGAGGAACATTTTAATTATCTGAAAAACCTTTTTCAATTGTAAAGTGCAATGAAAAGATTGCATGGATGTTAAAAGTTCTTCATGGAACCATCAATGCCAATAAATAACCTTTGTTTTTAGGAGCTTTATGTGTGTTTTCATGAATACATGCATGTGTTTGGTTGTGGCATGTGCATGTGCTCTGGTCAGCATCTCTTCTGTTCTCTAAATCCTCTTGTGTTTTGCTCTCTCCAGCACAATACCAGCACCAGTTGCCCTGCTGGGTCTCACACACACACACACACACACACACACACACACACACACACACATAAAAAAAAGGTTTTTACTCTGTGGATATGGGATAATGTGTTCAGAACAGAGAACACAGGAGAAGAAAACAGTGCGGTAAGTGAAGAGAAAAATCCATACTGATTGATATAGCATATATTACTTATATATTATAACTGTCTGTGTGTGATACTGCTATAAGCAACCACCCTGCGCTGGTACACTGTAGACAAGAAAAAAAAAAAGCAAGTTTGTTGCTTGCAAAAAAAAATTGTCAGAAAATATATAGCTAGTTTTTAATCTCCAGTGGAATAGTGAAGAAAGATGGAGAAAAATGTCATTTCCCCCCACAGATAAGCCATTTACAGACACTGGCCGCTTGTTGTAAGAAATGACTGGCATTAGTTCTGTTTGCTATTGGTTTGACTGCATTTAATCTATTGTAGGTCACTGGCTCCGCCTTGAGGCGTCCTCTGTAACTGCAATCAAAAAGTAGTATGGCGTCCAAACTGTGAGTTTAAAGGGATAGTTCACCCAAAAATGAAAATTACCCCATAATGTACTCACCGGGGGGAATAAAGGCTTCCGCATTCGTCACTTCTCACCGGACCTTACGCTACGTCCTGCGTCATCCGCCGGAATGAACGCGCGTAGGACAGTTAGCGGAAGCTAGAGATCACAGTTTAGAAAGTTTTAAATATGGATATTTTTCTTACAAAAACGCATTGATTCGCTTCAGGAGCCGGAGCCATGTGGGACACTTTTTATTATGGATGGATGTGCTTTATTGGACTTCTTTTGGAATACTAACAAAAAACACCCACTCACTGCCATTATAAAGCTTGGAAGAATTGGATTCGTCTGAAAGAAGAAAGTCATATACACCTAGGATGGCTTGAGGGTGAGTAAATTATGGGG